GAACAAGAACAAGAACAAGACGAGGACGAGAAGGATAATAAAAAGGCAAAAATAAATTCGCAACAAGGAGAAACGAACCAAGAATGCGAACTGCGACAGAAAAGTAAGTGTTTTTCGTTACATAAAGGTTACGGTACACAAAGCATTTCATAATATGTCATAATTTATTGTTATGCATCGAACAAAATAGGACAGAGTGGAATATCGTTGAAGGATAAAAGTGTCACAGTTGGCGTTGATACGTGTAAATGAAGATAGAACGTGGACGAGAAATTGCTTTTACAGTGGTTAAACGACAGGTGCACTATTCACCTGAGGGGCAACAATTTCGATTCGTGTTACACGCGTCGAACTTTAAAGCTCGATGAAACAACGGACGAGTCGTTTCGAGGAAAAAAGTGCAATCCTTGAGAGAGGTGTACGATGCGCGTGTGAAAGTATGAGCGTTTATTTCTTCGGAAAACTCATTTTTTCTCTTGATAATAATACGAATAATAATATCCACGCATGAACCGATAGAGAGATCGATACGATCACGAAGCAGTCATACTCGGATAGGCGTTTAAATTTACCTAATCATCTATTATTCCTATCAGTTCTGAATGTGTTTTGTAAGAAGGAATATCTAAAGTGAACATTTCAGTAGAGAGAATTGCAAAGCATTCTCGGGTACCTTGAAGGATTCGTCGCGTCTAATTTGTCTTAGACTCGGAAAGCTGTCCATGACTTTTATTTACATACGAGACAGAGAACGACAAAGCTAAGGTTTCACGCGTGCACAATACATTGCAGTGTCCTGCTGTTGTTCGTAAAAAAATAGAAGCGTAAATATCTACGTTAGAAAATAAATCGAATTTTACTACGAATTGTAAATATTCCATCGGAACTCGTAGATTAAGCGTTTGATCGGTACATCTGGTGCAATCGTAGGAATTTGCAAAGATTAATATCCTTTGGAAAGAAGGTAGATGTAAACTGTGTGCTGCGGATGATGCGAATAATAGAATTTGAGATGAAAACGAAGCGAACGAATTGTTTCCTTCGCCAAGCGAAGGTGTCTAGATGGGCATAATATTAAGAATAGCATTGTGCAGCGATCTTTTCTTTTTCTTTCTTTTCTCTACTAGTTTGCAACGCAGAAAAAACGCCTATCCTGTAGAACAGAAGAAAACGTCGAACGAATCGTCCTAAAGGAAAGTAACGATAAATAAGATTCACTTGCTCAGATTTTCTTTGAGCGAGAAAGGGGGGAAGAATGTATTGTAAAAAGGAGAAAAATATTGGAAAAATGAATTAGTATTAATGTCGATACTAACGCTACTATTACTTATCGTTGTCGCTCTAATTGTAATTAATATTGCTACTACCGTGAATTTTTTCACTGCTGCATCTATTATTACGAAATTAGTTGCCGGTAATATTCATGTTTTGTAAATTATATGTAAATTTGAAGCCGCAGAAGGATCGTAGGTAATTGTGAATCTTCTATTTTTACAAAATTTCTTTGATAACGTAACGAGACAAGAATAACGAGTATTAATTTTGTCACAAACTCTGTAAAGTGTACGATCAGTGGATGAATTCAGTAACGAGACAACACGCGGTATCAAAGAAACGAAGATGCGACTAATCGACGTTGGTACTCGTGTAATATTGCATCTTGGAGAAAGCGAAACGGTATTTTTGCTCTATACACACCATCCATTGAATTCTCATCGACGAGCGTGATTGTTGCGTGGATGTGAATGCGAATGCGAATATGTATGCGTGATCGTCGCCGAGTGTGCGAGGCTGCGTGCGTGCATGATCACTGGGACACGGCTAGGACGAGGACAGAGACCAAGACGAAGACCATGACCAACAACACAGTTTAGCTGTAGCTTTAAGTTTTAGCAGTAGATACTCGAATACCAGACGCAGAATTAGTCACGTTAAATTCGCACTGGATGTTTTTAGATTCGTTAGAATTCGATTTCTTTTTATTGGAGCACGGGCGAATGTACAAAGCAATGTTGGATAGCTTGGCATTGCGTGTTATTTTTATATGAACGAAAGATGCTAGAATAGCGAACGTACAGAAACGGAAGAGGAAACCAGAAAAGAACAAGCGCGACGGTCTTCGAGAAATCGCTTTGTACAGATGAAAGCCCGTGTGTATACGGCAAAGCGATTTCGTCTCGATGCGTATCATCGCGAATATTTCTATCGAATGTACCGCGATTGTATCAAACATTTATTGTAATTTCTAGTACGGTAATAATCTTCGGAACTTTGTGCGTCAAATCATCTATTATAGTGACCTGCCGAGGCACGCGTGCATACATAATGAACATGCATCGACAATAACACGAACACCCGAACGCCAGCTGAACACCTGAAAAGGCAGGGTGAAACGGATCGGATTGTTCGATCGCACAGAGTAATGGAAATTTTCTTGCGTTTGCGTTGCGTAAGCGTGTGTGTGCGAGAGAGTGTGAGAATATTTCTGATGCGCGTTACGAATTTGTATGTTTTCGGAACCGAATGTCCGTGGGGGAAATTGGCTGAAATCGGATTAACGAGGAAAGGAAAGAGGAGGGTACGTTTATCCTTTCCGAAAAGAACAGAGAATTTTGTTCCTCGCGAGTACAGCCTGTTTTATATTTCGCTATGTACAAATGGCTTTATTTATCATCGTCTGGTAAACCGTTCCATAAGTCGTAGGAATATGTATTACTATCTCTTAAAAGCTCCGTTTTTTTATTTAAATTATCGTCTATACAATTGAACAAGTACATACACTGGTAGATGAACAGATGAGAGATAGATAGGTAAATAGTTGAATAGATCGATAGATAATTAAATAGACGAATAGCTAAATAGATAGGTAGGTAGGTAGATGGACAGATAGATAGGTGAATAGATAGATAGACGAGTAGCTAGGTATAAATAAGTAGAGAGAAACAAACAAACAAACAAACAGATAAATATATGAACGAATACGAGGAATACGAAGAATACGTACATAAATGTCGTATATTACACGCATATATGAGTATGTGCAAAGATTTGCAAAGATTTGCACGTGCGCGAATAGTATATATACATATATATGTATACATGTGTATGTATATGTACATACGGGTGTACGTATACATGTGAAAATGTATAAAAAGTTGGTTTTAATCGACGTTACTCGATCGCTATCGCCCTCGCGAAACCTTCTCTCTCTCTCTCTCTCTCTCTCTCTCTCTCTCTCTC